TCGTTTTTCCTCCCATATACTGACGCTGGTTCTACTTGCCGTTTGAAGTGAATCTATAGCAAAATGAAACTGAGATCTATAAATATAGAACGTTTTCTGCTAAAAATACCGGTTTCATTTAAAATGTTTGGCAAAAACGGAGGCAAAAACAATGTTTATATTTTCAGAGTGAGGGATTATTGACATGTTTACATCTCGGCTGCATTAAAATCTCACAGCTGAGCAACCCCTATAGCTCTACATTTTACCCCTTTATGGGTTCGTCGCGACCGATGGGCGATGTAGACATATGATTAGTTGCATCTGAAGCTGCTCTGGGACCCTTTAATGCTTTTGAGTTGGATATCAGATTTCATGAAACACGACCGCGAAAGCCAATTAAGCCATTAACCTTTCTCCCGCATTCTGGAGTATTACAACACCATGGCCTCAATGAGCCGGACTCAGTTTTTGTTATCATAATCCCTACCTGCGTAGGAGTTGGGAGTTTATACGGAGGTCAAATGCCTCAGAGAGGTAATACAAATATTTAATATCCATAGAAAAAAAATAGTATGTTGGAGTTTTTTCGTCAACGTGCGTTAAAAATTCAGCATAAAGCTAAAAATCTCAATACAGAGGGGAAAAGCCCATATGAGCACAATTTTTCCGCAAAGAGGTATGCTGTTTGGTGCAACACTGTAGTTACGACCATTCAGGGGAAAAAATATGGAAAACGTACAAGTAATTTGCTATTTAATACATTCCGACGTATTATCTAAACTTTTGACAAGTAATGCTGAAACGATTAGTGAAAGAATGATTGATTCCTGATAGGTTTCAGAGTTTTATTGCTGGACGTTTTTCTCCCCATTATCATGAAAAGCCCCGGGCCGATTTTTGTAAAAATTGTTGGAGGCTCACTTTTTTGAACAATGACATGATTATGATTGGATATTTTTTTTTAAAAAAGAGAAAAGAATATATACTACGTAGAGTTTATGTTGTAATCGAGAATACATGTTAGGGAAGTTTAGTATGTTGAAAACATGCACCACTTAAATTCCATGTTGAACGGCCGGAGTTTTGCGAAAATTCAGCTTTTTGTTAAAAAACTTAGGTTCTACACTTCGGTTTGAGCAGTTCACGTGGGCTGCATGCTGATTTTTACGAGGTTTTTCTTCTTCTTCATTTTTTGTAGAAAAGTACAAGTCGTGGAGAGGAAGTACAAACCGTGTATTTTTTTTAAAATAATAAACTTATATGCAAGTAATACATATGTTGTCATTGGCAAAATCTGGCATCAGTTTTGAAAGTAGGTAAATAGCCTCAATATTGCAACAGCGCGTACATTTTCAAACATCGAAATTGAAAAGGATACGATTAACTTGTGTCGAAATTGCGAGAGATCTATCAAGTGTTTGTTCGGGAGAGTCAAGTAAGTTTTTTACTCTTGAAATTATTTGAGCGTAAAAGATAAAACGTACTCTCAGCATGTTCGCTCGGCAGGAAAAAATGAAATAACTCTACGACCTCAGAACTGATGCACTGCGCGGCTTCTTGAAAAGGATAAAGTCGGAGCTAGGGATGCCAGATCATATAAAATCCCTAAAATTTCCATGTCAGAACACGTAAAATTTCTAGATTTGAATTTAAATTCGACAACGGCGCCACTGCTGTCAACCACCAACAGCGCCCAGTGAAGCATTCCTCAAATGACGGACCAGAATGAGCCAGAGCCTGGTCCAGGACAACTGGTCAGGAATTTCAGTTTTCTCGAAAAATGTTTCGTTAAAGAGGACTAAAGAGACCCAGCGGAAAACCGTAGGGAGTCTTACGGCAGAAATTTTTCAAATAATCGTATCTTAATTGATACAAATGCCAGTGGGCCTAATTGGTCATTCGAATACAAATATGCGATAATGGTGCTTATTAGGTAGTTTAGTACTGGAGATATGTATTGAGTAAATATCATTGGAAACCAAAGGGTGTTAGATGTGTCCGTATCTCTTTTGAGGGGCATGGGAAGCACTATTGACCTACAGACACACCAATCAAGATTTCTTTCCTGCTCAAAGAAGAGCCATGTATAAAAATACCGAATGCAATAGGATGATTCAGTAATTTAAAATGAACCTTATCTGTTACCCTCGTTATTTGTCCAAAACTAAAAAAAGATGACAAATCTTTCTAAATAAACCATCTGCGTTTCAAAATTCCAAACAGGACCGGATTTGGGGGATGGCCACATGGGCCGCGGCCATTGGCGGCAAATTTAGGGGGCGGCAAATTTTGCAAATTTTTTAAATATAGCTATGAAGAAAAATCGGATTCAGAGAAAAAATTACAAACGAAAAAAGGTGACAAAATCTCTCATTTCCCGAGAGTATATCTCTAATTTTGTCGTCTATCTGTGATACAATAGACAACACCTTTAATTAGTCGAGTTAGGACCAAAAGAGAAACCGAACACGGAATTTGGCCTGGAACGGCGCGGCGCAGAGAGCAATGATGACGAGAAGAACTTGAGATGAACAGGAGAAACCCACGGCGCGGCGCGGAGGTCGGCATGTAACACATATTGGGGCCTACAAGACTGCATGAATACTTCACGCATTGCGTCAAAGATAGTGCGGTCGCTGCGGTCAGCAGCGGGCGGCGTGAAACGCATAGCGCCTACAAGACTGCATGAATACTTCACGCATTACGTCAAACTTAGTGCGTGCAGCAGCGGTCGGCGTGAAACGCGTTGTTGACAATCCACCTAGTAGGTAAGACAACAGTTGAACGTGAGTCTCAAAAGAAAATAAGAATCCACCATTGTGCAGATACAAATGCACTGAGTTCATCAGAAAGGAACCGACCCACAACAAGTTGAAACTGAGAAAAAGACGTTTGAAGTTTTATTCCTCCGTAAGACTCAATGTAGAATGTAAATTTTAACCCCTCTTTTCACAAACTAATATGTTTTCCGACTTTGAGTTCTTAGCAGCAGAAAATATATGACCAGAGGAACTCAAAAACACTCTTAACTCAATTTTTTGAAAATGTGGGTTGGTTCCTTTCTGATGAACTCGGTCCAAATGGAGGGTATCTTGCCTCTAGTGAAAATACCCACTTTCATGAACATATTTTATAGAGATTCAACTTGAATAGCTTCTTGGAGTTAAAAGACGAGGGGCCGAGGAAGACGCGAAACGAATGGTCATAAAGAATCGAGGTAGCTACCTTTACCCTCTTAAACCTTCCATAGATAAAACGCAGGCGAAAAGGTTCATCGCCGAGCAGAAGATTTAAAGCTCCCAGCGAGATTCAACACAAACCACATTAGCGAAAATAATGAAGTGGAGCAAACGCAAAGGCAAGAGCAGGAGCGATAAGGGCACGGGCACATATTGTAGATTCAATAAGGCCGTCCTGGTTACTCAAAAACCGCTCAACCACAATGAAAAACCGCCCTATTTCCGAGGTTTCGTTAAGGACTGGAGCAAGGGCAAGGGCAAGGACAGCGCTGCACTTGTCGGCTGAAGCACGGAGGGGAGGGGGTTGCGGGGTGGCTGGCAATGGCACATTACATCGCTGCAGGCCGAGGGGGAAGTTTTATCGCCACCAGAGCTGCAATATCCAAGGGTAAACAGTGGCGTTTCTTGCTTTGCGATAACTCGATCGAGCTGCCACTTTAACCTTTGAAAAAGAATCGATTATCGGGTGTAATTCGATAATCGATTCTTGGGCGTGCTTTCAAATAGGGGAATATCGATTTATGATGCAGTGCTGCCGTAAGAATGATTAGGGGACTCACCCTCGCGCGCACCCTCCCTCGGTTGAGTCATGATCGAGGGACTCCTTTGCCGACACTTCGCGTGGCCGCTGAAGGAAAGAATGCTGGCAAGGAAATAAGATCCACGGTCCCTTCTTTTCGGATGTTGGGCTTAGGGCTTAAGGGCCCGCCATGACGGTCATTTGTGGCTCCCTCGTGCGAGGACACGTGCGCGGGTGGATTTTTCCGGGGTCCAGATGCGAGCTTTCCCTCACGGGTTTGTTCGGGTTACACGTGGAGCACAGTGTTGCTTCGATCGGAATTGTGGACTCGAACCGAAGACGATATTTTCTATTGAAACCCATTTCGAATTTTAGTCTTTGACAATTTTGAGGGGAAATCCCACACATTTTTCAACAGTACCATATTTGGTCGGGAAAATTTGGCTACGTTTGGATGATCATGCAGAGTTTTCCTCAGCAAGGCAGTGGGCTGATTATTGAGATTGATAGACAAAGAAGAAAAAGAGGAAATGGAGCGATGCCATTAGTGGAAGCGGGTGTTGCGATGGACAAAGGAAGTACGTAGTGTGCTAACCTACGGCAACTCACGAGAGACCCTATAGTAGTCTACTATTTTCCACCTTAGTCCATAACAATCCGACTCAACCGATGAAATCAATCTATTTTCCCTTTGATTTCTTTATCTGCCGCTTTGTCTATGAATTCTAATGATCAGCCCACTGAAATAATTCAAAGGAAAGGCGCGATTTATTCATAAGAGTAGAACGAATCATTGGGAGAGGACGGACATGAAATACCTATTAGTTAAAACTGCGCAAATTATGATAATCTCGTCACATTTGAAATTATAAGGGACCTTTCTGAAGGAAAATTTAACGAGAGAATCAATGGAGCCACTTTTCAACTTCGACAGTCTGTATTACAAAGATTAATTAATTTTTAAAACACGTTATGAACATTTTCCCACGAATTTTCAGAGATGCTAAATTACGAATTCCGATGGAAATTGCGACTAGAATCACCCAAATTGTTTTCAAAATTATCTCATTTTTTTTTGGAAGTTCTTTCATTTGCCCACTTCCGGCTTTGGATGTTCTGCATTTTAAGTTTTCGTGTCCTGTCCGACCTCACCCATAGACTCGCCCCACTGTGATATGAATAGCAAGGCGAGTGGAAACGAATGATAAGTTAGCGTGGTGCTTTGAGGAGACGAAGGAGAAGTGTCATAATTCACTTACATGGAATCATCCCGGTTGAGCCGCCTGCTCGTGTCGACCGCGACGCTGTGCCGGTGCGACTTCTCTTTCACCCTGGACCGCGGCTTTTCCTCCGCATCTGCAACATGAATAATGCACATTAATGACCACGCGCATTAGAGTACACCACCTTGCCTCTTTGACGTAAGGGCGTAACTCAATTTCCACGCGAACCCTGCTTCACATATAAATCTGTGCTTGCCGGGGCTCATACGGAAATCCTGATACGCTCTCACGTCTGAGGAGCGACGCGACCCATCCTGCCGTGCTTAGGAAGAACGCCGTATGACTCTTCACGCGTTGCCAAATTTCCTTTGATAAAACACGAATTTCCTGGAAACTTGTGAAAATTTTTCTTCCAATTTTTCAGATAATGAAGAAGTTGCATGTGTGAGGGATTTGCGATTTGACTTTTGATTCTTATGTAAAAGTTCGCGAGAAACACGATGGTGCCACTGGTTTTCTCTGAAATCAACTCTCAAGCTCAAAAAAAGCACTCAAGTTGGGGCCAAAATGGAGGGGATATCCCACGCTATCCTGAGAGTCCACGTCTACATCAAAACAAACTCCCCATGCAAAGATAGGGAGCAATTACATTAGCAGGGTTGCCGTGTTTTCAGTTTTGGAGGCCCCAAATAAAGTGGCAGCCCTGTCAATGTATTTGCTCCCTATCTTTGCATGAAGAGTTTGTCTTGATGTAGATGTGGACTCTCAGGATAGCGTGTGATATCCCCTCCGTTTTGGCCTCAACTTAAGAGCTTTTTTTGAGCTTGGGAGTTGATTTCAGATAAAACCAGTGGCATCATCGTGTTTCTCGCGAACTTTTACATTAGAATCAACAGTCAAATCGCAAATTCCTCACACATGCAACATCTCCATTCTGTGCGCAATTTCACGCGAAGTTCCTAAAAATTTCAAGGAAAAATATTCACTATGTCCCGCAAAAATAAACATTTTATCGAAGGAAATTTGGCAACTCTAGAATGTTCATACGGCGTTCCTCCATAGCACGGCAGTATCGGGCGCGGTTGTCGGAAAATCCAAGCCCAGACTTCCTGTCGGCGAGAAAAATCAGCGGGATGAGTGGGCTGCACAACCGATGTAATTCAACAGTAATGGGCCACGAGACAAAGTCTGATGCTGGGAAAAAATGTCACAACTTTCTACCTCAAAATCTTAGAGTCCACGTAAAATAAGTTTACGCACTGCTAGACTGCGACAGAAGATCGTCTGACGTCACGTTTACATGTAAAGTAAATGAAAGAGGCAAGATGGCGGATCTTCTGTCGCAGTCTAGAAGTGCGTAAACTTGTTATGCGTGGTCTCCACGTACAATACGATTCACACAAGATTAATTCCTGTGTGAGATCAATTACTTGTTTGATGTCACAACAATCAACTGTCAAATTGAAGTTAGTTTATACAAATGCCATCATTCGTAGTTTTTGCATTTAACCAATGTTAACTGAGCGTGTTTTTTGAAGAAGGACGTAACTACCAAACTAGCGAGAGTGAACGCGGAACATCGTGAGCGGATCAATTAGATCGCTATTGGACTGCAACTGAAATTAATGCATCCTTCTAATTGCTGCAAGCAACTATAATTACTGCTCCTGAGTAGCTCACATTGCCTACCCGCGTATAATTGAAGGCGAACTGGTGAGAATGAGCGCAACGTTCCATAATGTGCGCAACCTAAACTGAACGAGTCGTTTAAAGAGGGGCGTAATCGCCAAGTTTGAAGTTCCAAGTGTAAGTGTAAAGGCAATATTAGGAAGCAACAATTTTAACCCTGCGGGTCGATTATTGAAATTTATAAACAAAGCTATAGACAAAGAAGACACAAGGCGTATAGGGCGATCCTATTGGTTGCAATCGGTGGTTCTTATAGACTAAGAGGGCTAAATGATGGACTAACTATCGGGTCTCTCGTGGGTTGCCGTTAGTTAGTCCATTACCTACTTCCTATGTCCATTATGCCACCACCAGCTTCTACCAATAGGATCCCTCCAAATCTCTTTTGTCGTCTTTGTCTATAGCTTTGTCTATCAGTTTCAATAATCGGCCCACAGGAGAGGGTTTGCTGCCTGTCTGGAAAAAAGATTGCGCATCCGTCTCCGCGAGTTCTCTAAATTTCAGTGCATTTTGCAATTCGGAACAATAATTTCTGGCTCAGTTGAGAAACAACGTATGAACCATTAGTTTCCCTATGCAAATAAGTGTTTTTACAGATGAGCCAGAAATTACAGTTTCGAATTGCAAAATGTGGTCCAATTAGAAGCCGCACGAACCAAATCGCACTTCCCTTTGGCTCTAATTTTATCTTACGCATCTTTAGTAAAGGATCCTCTGTACGTTGGTGCGTCATTATTTTCCAAAGCGAAGGCTTAAAGACGCTATCAACACTTCGCAAGTAATCGGAAGGAAGCAAAATAGTTTCAAAAGCGCCTCTCTGAAGGAGCTTCGAATACCCGGGGGTCTTGAACAAGTTATTAACGCATCGATGAAATTAATGAAGAGATGAGCTCCATGGTGAGACAGTTCTACGCTTTCATTCAAAGCTTCAATGAAGTGTTTGCGTGTTGTCATTTTAATAGTTAATACCTAGTTATTATAGAAGAGGGAATTTATTTTTCCAACCTGGCAACGAGGCACCGAAAATCTTGTTGTATTTCAATCAATATTCGTGTCGTATCTCTGATTGATGTAGTCTGCAAAATTCCCAAAATGAACTAGGAGTTGCGAGACACTCAACTTCATCGATTTCATCTCTGGCTTTCAATAGCTTCCATCTGAACTGCTTCAATATTAACTTCGTGTCAGGGTGTTTTTGCAATTATAACTTGAGTTTTTGTCTTATTTATCAAACGTATTGCTTCGCAGGTGATAAATTCCTTTACTCGACGTCAGGGCCGGATTTACCTTCTTGCCACCCATGGACCGCCTGCATTTTGCCGCCCCATCTCATTCGTCTCATTCTCATTCGTTTTGAAACATCCATAGAAATCATCAGGTGAACGTGCCGGAGGAGGAGGGGTACATAATACGCGTTTACTCGCGTTTGGCACATTTTGTGTGAAAGCCCTGTCAACACTAGCAAAAGTTCACGGAACTTTGCTCGAAAATTAAGTTCCGTAGACCTATCTCTGTGTGGACGATGCCTTTCATTTATAAGAAAAGAACGAAAAAATTATGAATAAAAATAAACATGAATGTGGTCTAATGATCTTAATTTCCGCCACCGCGCCAACCGCACTGTGTTTGGCGCAATGCGCGAAGTATCTCTACAGTCTTGTAGGCGCTATGCGTTTCACGCTGACCGCTGCTGACCAAGTGACCGCACTGTTTTTGATGCAATGCGTGAATTATTCATGCAGTCTTGTAGACACTATGAATTTCACACTAACCGCTGCTGACCGCACTACGTTTGACGCAATGCGTGAAGTATTCATGGAGTCTTGTAGGCGCTATTGCGGTGGATGACGTCATAAATCGAGTTTTTCAAGGCGCAATAACTCAGTTCATACCTATTCAAGGTAGAAAGTTGCTGTTTAGACAGATCTGATTATTTTTGGTTGATCTGCAAGAGGGAAGCATCAAAACACGATTCTGTGACAAGCGCAACAGACCCATTGGAAATGCACATATCACCCAACGATCCCTACCTCTTTTTCCACGTGTTATTTGACTGAACTTCGCTGATAGACTCGTTTGACGGTTGTATTTTGTGATTTATTGGTAGATTGTACTTGCCCCCTTTTACTTCCCCTGATTTGAAATGCCAACCTAGAAAGTTTTGTTATCGTGCAGTTCTCGCCGATCTTCTGATATGGGCCGAATGGTTGTAAGAGCGCTCAACGGAGTGGTGAATAAAGTTTCCATCCAGACATAACAGACGAACAGAGCCGCGAAATGACGAATTGCTCCGAGTGAGAAATGGCTCACGAACTCCTTTTCATGATGCTAAAAAGCTGGGATTAAACGGGCTTTAAAATTATAAATGTGCTGCCGGAGAGTCCGTGCCCTACCGTAAACGGATGAAAACGCGCGCGAATACGGAGTGCCATAAGCACGACCCAGCTGCATTTCGTGCTCACGGGTAACAAGAGGTTGAGCTTCCACCATAGTTGCCGATTTTTTTCTCTCGAACTTTCTAAAACACTGCCGTCCTCAACGAAAACGCTATACCTCCATTTTGTCCCCGAGCTTTTTACCGAAAAAATGTTTGATTGCCGAAAAGCTGACGAACATTTATCCTTCCTACACTGGAAAAAAAACTCATTGGATCTAAAGTCCAGACTCGTGAAAACATTGACAAGAAAAAGGACTCTTGATTCAATCAGATTTAAGCTTAAATCAAAAGGAAATCCGCTCAAATAAGAGGCTTGGTTCTTGATTTAAGCTTAAATCTGATTGAATCAAGAGTATTTTTTCTTGTCGATGTTTTTAAGAGTCTGGAATCTAGATCCAATGTGTTTTTTTTTTTCCAGTGCACTGAGTTTTTTCCCTTGGAAACTCTACTTTTTTGACCCTGTTCGACCAACATCGCTCTCGTGAAAAACGCATCATCGTGCACCGGAATCCCTTTCCTTGATCACGTTCGCAATTCTGCCGTGCTAAGAAAGAACGCCGTATGAGCCTTCAGACGTTGCCAAGTTTCCTCCTACTGGGAAAATTGTGAATATTTTTTTCAAAAATTTCCAGACTATTTTGTACGCAATTGAATCTAAAATATTCGAAGGATAATGTACATGTCAAGGGAAATTTGGCAGCTCTCGAGTGTTCATACGGCGTTCTTCCTTAACACGGCAGAATTATACTCTATTTTAAAGGGAGTAATATTCCCCCGATCTGGTAACTTAGACTCTGAGTGCCGTACTTATCGAAGCTCGAGTGGCGTGCTATAAGGATTGTCTCTGATCTTTGGCGCGGCGCAGTGGCGGCGTATGCAAAATAATTACGCCTCCTTAAACTGCTCTCACAACGAGTCTCTCAAGACTGTTTACAGATTGTGATCTTCAGTACCGCAACCCTTAACCCTAGACGGGAGCCCTAGCGTGGAGCCCAGAGGATTAAGAGGGGAATGTCGTGCACAGATGTTCAAACCTGAAGACCCTGCTGCTGGATTTAACTAGAATATCTTCATTTTGTTAGAGATGATCGATATGCGTAGCTTTTAACAGTTCGAATTGGCAACAATGTGAGTTTTCTTCGACTGAAAATGCAACTAATGGCGTGAGGGAAATAAAATCCTAGCATTGAGAAAATATGATCTCCCAGTTAAACGCTTGTTGTATGAAAGTAGTCGCAAAAATTGTGTGTTTAGAATTCATTATCATAATGATTTTATGTAATTTAAGCGTGATAAATAGGGCTGAGCACTTTGTTAAGTGTGAATATTAAACTGCACCCTAATTTTAAAGGGCTGCAAAAAATTATATTCAAAGAATTTCTTTGCATTTTCAATATCTTTCAATTTAGCATAGATACCTATGATTGTGATATGGAGAAAAATCACCTACGAAGAAAAAAATGTTAGGCAGAATGTAAAGTTTGAGGAGCGTAAAATGAGGAAAAAGAATGAAAAATTGTTTAGACCGAATACATCTTTAGAAGAAAATTAAAGAAAAAGTATTAAAGCCTTCTTTAGAGCTCTCTTTAATTAATACGTTCAAAGTATTTCAAGAGTCACAGAGTCACAAAGTGGTGTCATAAAAATTAAATAAGATCTACACAGTTGTAGAGCCGAAAAACTGAATTCGTCACATAAATGGTAAATCAATTCTATTAAAAAATATCGACTGTTTCTATCTTTTCAATTTTACATGTGTATAGCAATATTTTTGAACGAGGTAATTCAAAGAAAGTATTACAATGGAATACCATTTTAACCCATTTCCCGCCGCTCTAATTACATATTAATTAATTCTTTTCCGTAAACACTGTCCAATAATTCTTGAAAAATGAACATATTATGCTGATTGTCAGAAAGCAAATGGTATGGAACGAACGGCCACATAAAAGCGCCTTCAAAATGCAGTGATACAATTTGCGTGGCACTTTCAGCAACTCATGGCGGGGCATCACAGATGTTTGCCGTTTGGATGGATTGATGGCTGTGGGATAGGAAATATAATCAAGGTTTCAATGCAGTTGTCTTTTACAAATATTCCATGAAGTATTTATGGCTTATCGGGATAAGCCTAAGTAGCTACACTCGCCTCTCAGACATTAGAATAAATACGGTGAATGCATAAGTTGAATTCTCTGGATGTTAGGGTACGCGTCAAGAGAAGGAAGCTGAGTTAAGTAGGAAAGCACCCACGATAATCAAAAGTTAGTAGGACTGAACTTCATCCATCTAAATTTACGTTGAATAGTCGATATTAATTTATCGAAGCCCACCGCTTTGCCTAAAATCGATTATTCACAATAGATTTTAATTAAAAAAAGAGATCGCCGCCGCGATTTGCGATGACTGCTGCTGGCGAAAAAAGCAAGGCACATCCAGACACTACTAAAACTGAGCGACCACTTCAATCTGACGAGGAAGGTAGTTTCACCATTTTTAACAATATAAAAAGAGAAAGAAAGAAAAAGGAATCTTGATTTCCCTCTTGCAAGATTATGAATTCATATTACTGATGCGTCGGAGGAGAAAATTTGAACGAAATGCACATCGATGTTTACGGCACAAAAGAATGCTCAGACGGACACTGAGAAAAAGAGCGCACATTTGAAAAGACGCGCCACTCCAAGTGGTAAGTAACTCCTCCCATTTTGGCGCCAAACGTGGACAGAGTAAGTTAGCGCTATCTCTGAGCGAAGAGAAGTTGCAGACCTTTTGGAACAGTACACAATTGCTCCGCTAGAGTGCTGCACTCACTCGTCTGCAAGCTCGCCTCTTGTCGTATCATGACCGCGTACTTTGAACTTCAAAGCTTTGCACCATGCGTCAATTTTGCGTGAAGAACAGTTAGTTGAATGATCGCACGTGACTTGCGGTTGAAACTTCGGATAAAGTTTTGAGTACGAAGAATGCATCCATCTTTCATTGCACGTTTAAAGAAATTTAATAAATTGATGTGATTTCCTTTTAGATAAAAAATTATCTTAAGAGTCGTCTCTATTGTAATTAAATTATTTTAATTTTAGTCATAATAGTCATGAGCCTAGTATTAATGCAAAAGTTTAATGTATGTTCGTTATAAGATAATAAATAGGAAGCTGAAATAACTAGAAGAATATGTGATGATTATTTTTATCTAATTTTCAATGATTTATATGCGAAAAACCTAACAATAAATCACAGATTTTGTAGCTGATAGTGATTTTTTTTAGAGCTTATCTTTCGTGAAGATGGCTTTTCATAAAATCGCGCTTGATCAGGAAAAAACTCATTTATTTGAAATTTCAACGTACCTTTAGGTAAGTCGTCTCGTCAGAGGTCAACAAGTTCATTAAACATTGATTCAATTGCCATGCAGAGGGTGAGAAGGTACTCTTTTTTTGAGTGGAATTCGCTGCTTCGTAGAAGTAAGAGAATATTTTGAAGCGTACGTGGTTCATTAATTGTGCATAGGCGAGGCAAATATAATATGTTTGACCCAGGTTAAAAATACGCTTATCATCTCCGTTTATGATTAATTTAATGATAAAACTTGAAGACTTACTTTCATTATATTTGGTACTAAGCGCGACCAGACTGGCCACCATCCTGGCACGATGCGTTGCATTTTTTACACCCAACTGCTTCAAGTCAGCCTCCGTGTAGTCAAGAATACTCTGAAATGAAAAGAAAAATGTATTAAAAGAAACCAGATTACACAAACTCTTTACATAACATTTGCAATTGAAATTCTGACTGGAGGTCTTAATTGAAAATTATCTTAGGCTACCCAGCTGAGCTAGTATTTCCTGCTTATCATATACATAAAAAAAATTGGACAGAATATTCGTAACCGAAAAAAATAAAAAAATATAACTCGTGTACCTCTGATACTGCCTTCCTCTCTTATCCTGCATATATACATGCGATGAAAAGTAAGACCGGGTACGAAATGACAGAGCGACATTAAACCCATAAGACGATAGTTTACTAAAATTATTAGAATTCGATAATTTAAAACAAATTCGTGTTTTTTTGCCAACAAAAGAGTTTAAAACGCGAGGAATGTAAAACTGACAAGAAAGTCAAAGAAAAATTAAATGAAGAGTAAAAACTCAAATCGTGGTACCTAAGCGTCATCAGGTGTTGCTAAGATTGAACGCTTTCCCCCCTGTTTAGCAGAGAACAAAGAGCCTGAGAAATTCCTGTCATAAAGTTAAGTGCAAAATCTGGAGAAAAGTTCGTCATTGAAGTCGATTAAGCGAGGATATTTCGATTGATTTACCGTGAAAAACACCATGGGCAATTCTAGATGGCGATAACCAAGTTTGGAATTTCAACTGCTCAAACCCTGGTAACATTTTGCTTCTTAATCTGCGTCTTGGAGGCTTCTTGGAGGCTTCTGAAAAGTCCAAGAAGCTCTGAAGAAGACGATTTTTCTGTACTTGGTGACTACTTTGAGCATTCTTGAGTCCTTCTTCGCCGTCCGATCCATTGTTTTCATCGAAGGGCGATAACTACCCGTGACGGCCGCGAGACCCGGATTCGAAAAAGGTCGTTCCGCTTTAATGAGGGTCGTCGAGGGTCGTCACTGATAATCGGACCCTTCTTGAAGAATGCTTGTACTCTTCCTGCTCTAGAAGTTTCGCATGCGGCCTAACTGTCAGGCACTTAGACGCGGAATCTATCGTTGTAGTTCCAGTTTGAGCGATTCTTCACGCGATTAGTTCTTTTTTCAATCCCCGAGAGTGCGGCACATGCGTGCATCTCCCAGAACCTACTATTTGCACCACTTATCATTTATTTTTGAAGTTCAGAATGAAGTTTTGGAAATTTCTTGAACGTTGACATGCAGTTCCTCCTCTAATAAATACTATTACGAATATTTTGACATCTCAAACCTTTAGCTAATTTAAGGAGACTTCAAACAGAAGTGCCAGCAACGACTGATATCCAATCAATTATCCTTTTAGTCTATTAGATTAATTACATTAAATTCGTTCGACTGTTAAAATGAATCAATGTAGCCTCTTGTCAT